GAGAGAGAGATAGAAAGAAAGAAAGAAAGAGAGGGGAGAGAGAGAGACAGAGAGAAAGAAAAAGGGAGGGGGTGGCAGGAGAGGGGAGAAGGGAGGAGGGAGAGGAGGGAGAGGGGATAGGGCAGAGAGACATAAAGATGAGGGAAGAGAGGAGGGAAAGAGAAGGGAGGAGAGGAGGGAGGAGGGATGAGGGAGAGGGAGGAGGAGCAGGAAGGTAACAGCGTGAACGTTCGAGGAAGTCCTGAGCGAAAGCGCCGTTCCTGAAGGAAGTCTCGGGCGGGAGCCCACGACGGGCGGGCGATCCCCTGACAGGCGGGTCGAGCGGGTGGGACGTTCAAGCGGGATGCCTGAGTATGGCGGGAGCGCGATTACTAAGTAAATTGTTACGGCGTCCTTGGCGCAGCGTGTTTCCTGAGCGTCGAAAGCGCGATGTCTGAATACTTTCCATGGAAGCCATAGGCGAGAGCGCAATTCCTGAATAAAATGTGAAGGGTTCTCTGGCGGGAGCGGAGGTCTTGATTGAATTGCGAGGAAGTCTTGATTCAACTGCGAGGAAGTCTCAAGCGGGAGCGCCGTTCCTGAGTACAGTGTGAAGAAGTCTCAAATGGGAGCGGGGGTCCTGACTCAATTGCGAGGAAGTCACAGGCGGGAGCACCAATCCTGAGTAAATTGGGAGGAAGTCTCAGGAGCGGGGGTCCTGAGTAAATTTGGAGGAAGTGTCAGGCGGGAGCCGTTGTTGTTGTAATCCGGGGGGCCCGGGGCACAGTTTGAGCACCAAGACTTTCCATGTCAAGAAACAAGGTGCGAGCGTCGAGGGGCACACTTTGATTGAGAAAAACAATATGCACCGGTGAGGGGGATCAACAATGATTTTTCTTCAGAAATGTAAGTTCAACAACAACAACAACAACAACCACAAAAAAACAACAACCACAACAGCAGCAGCAACAACAAAAACAACAATCACAACAACAACACCAACATTAACAACAACAACAACAACAACAACAACAACAACAACAACAACAACAACAACAACAACAACAACAACAACAACAACAACAACAAAAAGCAACAACAACAATCATGTTAAGACTGTTCCCCCTTATCTGCTCGAGTGTCCAATAACGCGTATTTCCCAAACCCTCGATACCCGCCCTCTTCGTCTTCGATCGAACCCATTTTGGGGGGGATACCTTTCTTCCCTGCAGGCCGGGCCCCGGCAAGCGGCGGGGCGGCCGCGGACCGTCGGCCTGGCCAGCGGCAGCGCTGATCGGCGGGGCGGCCGCGGACCGTCGACCCGACCCCAGGAGGGACAGACAGGGGACCGACCACGACGACGTCGACGACGACGACGACGTCGACGACGACGACGACGACGACGGGACGACGACGACGACGACGGCGACGACGAGCGAAAGCGAGAGCGAGAGAGAACGACAGCAGGGCCACGAAAGGCACGAAGTAGGCCACGAAGGGCGACAGCGTGGACACGAAGTGAATGCGTATGGGGCCACGAAGAGCGCGAACGAGCGGGGGCCACGAAGGGCAGATAATGCGGGGCCACAGAAGGCAACGATGGGGCCACTGAGGGTAGCAACTGGGCCACGTAGGACAGTGAGGGGGCCACAAACGGCGACAGCGGAGCCACGAAGGGCATGCACATGGGGCCACAACGGGCGCGACTCCTGGGTGGTAGTGCGGCGCTTGAGCAAATTGCGAGAAATTCCAACGCAAGGGCGCTATTCTGCAGTAAATTGCAAGCAAGTCTCCAGCGAGACCCCGACTCCAGAGCGCTGGGAGAGCGATTTGTAAGGAAGTCCCAAGAGAGAGAGAGCGCGATTCCTGCATAACATACGAGGAATTCTCGGGCGGGAGCGGGGGTCCTGGCTAAATTGTGAGGAAGTCTCAGGCGGGAGCCGTTGTTGTTGTAATCCGGGGGGCCAGGGGCCCAGTTTGAGCATCAAGACTTTCCCTTTCGAAAAACAGGGTGCGAGCGTCGAAGGGCACACTTTGATTGAGAAAAAACAATATGTACCAGTGGGGGGATCAACAATAAGTATTCTTCAGAAGTGAGAGTTCAACAAGAGCAACAACAACAATAACAACAACGACAACAATAATTAAGACTGCTCGTTCTTATCTGCTCGCGCGTACCTCACCACATATATCCCGAACCCCCGATACCCGCCCTCTTCGACTTCGATCGTACCCCCTCTGGGCTGGGAGGTACATCTTCCTGACCTGCCACGTGTATTGGGCGCAGCCCCTAAAAGAGCAAGAGGAGTGAGAAAGGAAAGAGAGAGAGAGAGAGAGCGATAGAAAGAGAGAGAGATGGAGAGAGAGAGAGAGAGTGAGCGAG